AGAAGCAAGAGCAAACAAATCAAAAACCTAGAAGAAGACAAGAAATAACTAAGATCAGAGCAGACCTGAAGGAGACAGAGATACAAAAAACCCTTTAAAAAAATCAATGAATCCAGGACCTGATTTTTGAAGAAAATAACAAAATACATTTTCAAAAAATAGCAAAATACATAGAAAGCTATCTAGGCTAATAAAGAGGAAAAGAGAGAAAAAATAAAATAGACACAACAAAAAACGATAAAGGGGATCTCATCACTTACCCCACAGAAATACAAACTATGATCAGAGAATACTATAAACTCCTCTATACAAATAAACTAGAAAATCTAGAAGAAATGGATAAATTCCTGGACATATGCAGCCTCCCAAGAATAAACCAGGAAGAAGTTCAATTTCTGAATAGATGAATAAAGAGTTCTGTAATTGAGGCAGTAATTAATAACCTACAAAAAAATAAAATAAAAAAATTGAAAAAGCCCGGTAACAGAGGGATTCAAGGCCGAATTCTACAAGAGATACAAAGAGGAGCTGGTACCATTCCTTCTGAAACTATTCCAAAAAATTGAAAAAGAGAGACTCCTCCCTAACTCATTTTCTGAGGCCAGCATCATTCTGATACCAAAACCTGGCAGAGACAAAACGAAAAAAGAAAACTTCAGGCCAATATCCCTGATGAACATCAATGCAAAAATCCTCAATAAAATACTGCCAAACCAAAATTAGCAGCACATAAAAAGTTTATCCACCACTATCAAGTCAGACTCATCCCTGGGATGCAAGGCTGGTTCAACGTATGCAAATCAATAAACATAATCCATCACATAAACAGAACCAATGACAAAAACCACATGATTATCACAATAGATGCAGAAATGGCTTTCAATATAATTCAACATCTTTTTATCCTAAAAACTCTCAATAAACTAGATATTGACAGAACATACCTCAAAATAATAAGAGCTATTTATGACAAACCCACAGTCATTATCATACTGAATCAGCAAAAGCTGGAAGCATTGCTTTGAAAACTGGTACAAGACAAGAATGCCCTCTTTCACCACTCCTATTCAACATAGTATTCAAAGTTTCAGCCATGGCAATCAGGCAAAAGAAAGAAATAAGGTGTCTTCAGGTAAGAAGAGGGGAAGTCAAACTGTCTCTGTTTGCAGATGACATGACACTATATTTAGAATGCCCCATTGTCTCAGCCCAAAAACTCCTTAAGCTGACAAGCAGTTTCAGCAAAGTCTCAGCATACAAAATCAATGTGCAAAAATCATGAGCATTTCCATACACCAGCAATAGACGAACAGAGAGGCAAATCACGAATGAACTCCCATTCACAATTACTACAAAGAGAATAAAATACCTAGGAATACAGCTAACAAGGGATGTGAAGGACCTCTTCAGGAAGAACTACAAACCACTGCTCAAGGAAATAAGAGAGAATGCAAACAAATGGAAAAATATGCTATCCTCATGCATAGGAAGAATCAATGTCGTGAAAATGGCCATAATGTCCAAAGTAATTTGTAGATTCAGTGCTAATCCCATCAAACTACCATTGACATTCTCCACAGAATTATAAAATAATGTGGAACCAAAAAAGAGCCTTATAACCAAGACAATCCTAAGCAAAAAGAACAAAGCTGGATGCATCATGCTATGTGACATCAAACTACACTACAAGTATACAATAACCAAAACAGCATGGTACTGTTACCAAAACAGACATAGAGGCCAATGGAACAGAACAGAGACCCAAGAAATAACACCACACAACTACAACCATCTGATCTTTGACAAACTGGACAAAGACAAGCAATGAGGAAAGGATTCCCTATTTAATAAATGGTGCTGGGGAAAGTGGCTAGCAATATGTAGAAAACTGAAACTGGACCCCTATCTTACACCTTATACAAAAATTAAGATGATGGATTAAAATCTTAATATAAAATTCTAAACTATAAAAACCCTAGAAGAAAACCTAGGCAATACCATTCAGGACATATGTAAGGGCAAAGACTTCATGATGAAAATGCCAAAAGCAGTTGCAACAAATGCCAAAATTGATAAATAGGATCTAAGTAAACTAAAGAGCTCCTGCACAGCAAAATAAACTATCATCAGAGTGAACAGGCAACCTACAGAATGGGAAAAAAATTTTGTAATCTACCCATCTGACAAAAGTCTAATATCCAGAATTTACAAGAAACTTAAACAAATTTACAAGAAAAAGACAAACAACACCATCAAAAAGTGAGCAAAGTATATGAACAGACTCTTCCCAAAAGACATACAGCCAACAAACATATGAAGAAAAGATCAACATCATTAGTCATTAGAAAAATTCAAATCAAAACCACAATGAGATACCATCTCATGCCAGTTAGAATGGCAATTATTAAAAAGTTAAGAAACAATAGATGTTGGTGAGGCTGTGGAGAAATAGGAATGCTTTTACACTGTTGGTAGGAATGTACATTAGTTTAACCATTGTGGAAGACAGTGTGGTGATTCCTAAAGGATGTAGAACAAGAAATACCATTGGACCCAGCAATCCTATTACTGATTATATACCCAAAGGAATATAAGTCATTCTACTTTAAAGGCATGTGCAAGTGTATATTTATTGCAGCACTATTTATGATAGCAAAGACATGGAACCAACCCAAATGACCATCAATAATAGACTGGATAAAGAAAATGTGATACATGTATACCATAGAATATATGCATCCATAAAAAAGAATGAGATTATGTCCATTGCAGGGACATGGATGAAGCTGGAAACTATCATCTTCAGCAAACTAACACAGAAACAGAAAACCAAACACCTCATGTTCTCACTCATAAGTGGGCATTGAACAATGAGAACACATGATGGTTACAATCAAGACTACCTGACATCTTTTGTTACCCTATGTTCTAATTTTTTTTAATTCACTTTCCTCTCATTGTAATGGATAGAAAAAAGCCTGACAAAGTATTCTCCATAAGTGGGAAACATTTTACTAGTGCATTGACGTTTTGAGTAAGACTCTAAAGATTTACATTTTAAGCTGGAGATTCTGGTTCTATCATTCTTAAGAGGAAATTCATTGGGAACAGAAGCTTGGACTTTTCCCAGATACTCTTCAGTTCATACTATAGGCATGAGTGTCTACAGCAGATTATTTTTAGACTCTAAAATATTCGTGTTAGCCACATCTGACAGCATGTGAAACAGGTTTCAATCTAAAGAGGAGTTCATGGAACTACAAGCAGGTTTTACACTGCTTTTTGCTAATACTACCTGAAGCAGAAGGAAAGCATTAATGAGATATTTCTTCAGTCTCAGTTACCAAAACCACTTGTAGTCTTGCCAAAGTACCATATTATCCCATGCCTTTGAGCCACTGAGCCTTCCATCTGGAATGTCCTTTCATGCCTCCATCTTCGAATAACATCTCACTATGTCATGGGATTCTTGGAGTGTCACTTCACCAGCTGGAAACCTCTGTGCTGGTGGCACCTTCTGCTTGATTATTGCTCATGCCCACTGGACTTGTTCCACCCACTCAGACTGGCAGACTGTGCTTAGATCCCACACCTGTCAAGGGTGATCCAGGCATGGAGCCATAAGGGGTGTGTGAGTGCGTATAGGCTCTGGCCACTGTGCACAGCCAGGCTTGCTGGCTGCTGTGGTGGGGTTATCCTAAGATAACCAGAAACCATTACGCTCAACGGACAGCTTTGATTGCTATAGTGAACAGTTTTGATTTTAATTATGTTTTAGTTACTATTAGTTGGACCCCACATCCTTCTGGACCAATTTAGCATCATAAACATTTTTGCTCCTTGTTGGCACTAAAAAAACTATAGAAATGCACATGTGTGGTCTGCTTAAACAGATGTTTTAATTAATAACTTCTTTAGAGCTGTTATCAATGTACATTTGGAGAGTCTGAGTATAGTTCCTCTTGATGACTTTATTATATAATAAAAGTGAAAATTTTGCAGTTGTCTCCTCAATTTAATAACCCAAACTGGCTGTATGAGATAATACATGTTTATAAATCGTGTTCAAATTTGAATTATTTGTGTCTATTAATCAAATTAATCAAAGAATTGCCAAATCCGTTCTTGACTTTGTTCTCAATGGAATTGATCTCTAAATTTATACATTTACTACAAACTTTCACACGATAGCATTAAAATTGAGTGCTTTTTTTAAAGATTAGTCTAATTTTATAACAGATAGTCATACATTTAGAAAGTAAAATTTCTAGCAAATAACACTATTATATTTTCTAATTTTGTAAACTGTGTTCATTTCTAGACTTTTAGGAAAGCACATTAAATCTTCAGACTTCTCAGATATCAGCTGAAAATTATGGCATTATTTATTTCTTTAGAAAATGTGGACTTAAAGTGAAGAGTGTTGAATTACTAAAGGCTTACTTTCATATGCTAAATCAAGTTTAGCCTAAAGCTGCCTCCTTATATATTTAAGTTTGGCCTAAAGGTTTTTTCTGTACATTGTGAACTCTAACAATTGGAGGTGTGCCGTAGCTCACAATTTTACCAATCCCTGAGTTTTGGCCAATCAAATGTAGCCAACTGTTCAAACTGTATTCAAATAAGGAAAACGTGGAGCTGTAACCAATCCAGTTGTTTCTGTACCTCTCTTCTATTTTCTGTACATCACTTTCCATTTGTTGTCCATAAATTTTCTTTCACCATGTGACTGTGCTAGCATCTCTGAATCTGCTGTGATTCTGGGGGCTGCCCTATCTGCAAATTATTCATTGCTCAATTAAACTCCATAACATTAATTAATTAATTAATTAATTGAGACAGTGTCTCATTCTGTTGCCAAGGCTGGAATTGCATGGTGGGATATGGGCTCATTGCAACTTCTACCTCCCAGTAAACTACTTTAGATTTGATTCAACGGAAGGTTGTTTTTGTTTTTGTTTTTGTTTTTAAACAGATGGTGGCAGTGGTGCTATCTGAAGTAGAGCTTTTAAAAACCCCCAGGAGCACTGAGTGAACAAGCAAGGTACCTACAAAGACCCTCTTGTGTCCATTGATCTACTCTCAGAGTGGCAGGGGATTGTGGGTAAGTTCTTTCAGATTTCAGAGCTACAGAGATTTGTGTTTTAAGTTATCCAAGTTTCTGTGAGCAAATTTCTGATCCAGATTGGGTTTGGAACTCGTGACAGAAATTGGGCTGCTTTCATGGTGGTATTTGGTCTGGTAATTAACTGTCTTGGATCTAGTATGAGACCTCTTACATCTGTCTAAGAAAAATTCTGGTAGTAAATGGTAATATTTTGGGGTTATAAAATTTGGCTTTTGAAAATTCACAGGAATTTTTGTGTTCTACTTCTCTGTTTCATTTTTCTTGTGCACTTTGGTCGGAAAAAAAAAAAAAAATCACTGGCTAAGTTAATCAAGGAAACCTGAAAGTAAAACCAATATTTTCAGTTAAAATAGGATTCTTAATTCCTGAAAAACTGAGTTCCTTCCAACACATACATTAGGCATAGAAAACAGCAAAGTCTTATAGAAATGGCAAAACCTCAATAAAGACAGCTTAAAATGGAATGTTCTGAATAAACAACAACACATTGAAGTGCTTTTAAAAATGAAAGCTCTCAAAAATTAAATCTGCTAACCTTTTAAGTTTAGTTACTGTCCCAATCCAAAGGAAATAGACTGCAGTACCAACTGGCTGACTTTGGATAAGTAATGGGGTACATTTACCTGAGTAAAGGATGGGATTAGGTTAGAGGCCCACCACTCAGTAAAGTCCCTCTTGGCTAAAAATTGATTAAAGATGACAGGGCCCAAGCAGAAGCAAGTTTGAGCCTTGTCAATTCCATATTGGGTGCTAAGCAGAGTGGCTAATGCCTATGTTTTGTCACATGTATTTTGCTCTGGCCAGAAAGGAAAAATATAATTTTCCTTTGTATTGCTGCTTGTCCACCACGGTTGTGGTGCAGCAAACTGTATCATCAGGGAGTCTTAGGGAAAGGAAACCCAATAGCCTGGCATGCCAGCAAAAGGGTAAGAATTTCTTACCAGTCAGACTTCTGACCTCCATCTTTCTCTCTCTCTCTCTCTCTCTCTCTCTCTCTCTCTCTCTCTCTGTCTCTCTCTCTGTACAAACCTGTTGAACAAATGGTAAAAATCACCTTTTATCTCCTCTGTAAAGTTCTGATTAATGGGAAAAAGGATTCATGAGCCTAATCGGAACCTGTAACAAATTTGGTGTGCTTTGTGTGTCTTTCTGTATTGTTCTGTTTAATGAGGAGTACCTTAGGATAGAATGCAGTTCTAAGATGCCATCAACCCACTGTTCCAGATGGCTCAGTAAACTGGTCAGTTACAAACTTTGCTGCAGGTCTACAAAGGGAAAAAAAAAAAAAAAAAAAAAACAGGAAAAATTGGATGAGAGCTCCATCTTGCTTTATGTCCTTGGAATCTTGACCTTGTAACCACATGGCAATACTTTCTCTTGATCTCTGCCATTTTACAGTGGCAGACTGGATTCAATTCCAGACACAGGGAGTGAGTCCTTTCTGGTTTGATATCAGCATGAGCTTTGACATTTGTTGATTCTCATCCCCTCCATAAACCATCTTGAATTTTCCTTTCGCTGAGCACAGAAATAGTGGCCATTTGGTCTGACTGAAGTCAGGTAATAAGATATTTAAAAGAACTTTTAAAGTGCTATGGCTAAAGTCAGCTTAATTAAAAGCAGATATTCAAGCTCTAACAGCCTGGGATTCCTTGGGAAAAGCAGAAGAGGCACTGCAGACCCTGTTTTAGGGAAAACATCTGTTTTCCTCATGAAATCTCAGGAATTAAAAGTAGATAGAACCCTCTCAAAACCTAAGGCTCTTCCATTTTGCATTGCATTATCTGATGTTTTTGACTTTTAGGAGTACCAGAAATTATTTTGTATTATGAGAGAGCTTTTGTATTTAATAACTAGGTAGGAATATATACTTTCAGGGATGCCTAATTGTAGTTATGGGGAGATAGACTCAGCTCTGCACATTTGGATCAGAGAATAATGCTCTTGGCCATCTTGAAATTATGGAACTATCCTCAAACCCTTGTTGAGAGATAAGACTCTATGGGAGGTGGGCTTATTCCCTCTTTGTTGGATCCAGGATCTGGTGTAAGCATGGGAATGAGACCCTTAATTTCTAGAGTTCCGTTTTGCATTAAAAAAGACTTAAAAACTGGCAAATGAAAAATCTTACAACTATTGGATCTTCTTCTATCTGTCTATCTGTATAGGTATATAAGTGTGAGTGTATGATTTTTACATAAAAGAGTACTAATTAACTGGCTTAAAATAAGTGCTTAAATAAAATATTTTGAAAAATAAAACCATAATGCCTTTTATTTCACGCAACTTTAGTAACTTTTGGAAAATAAAAAAATTAAAAGATTATTGGTAAAATGAAGACTTTTTTTGTCTAAATTAGGCAGGTCAGATATTGGGTTTGCTAAATGGTTTAAGGTCACAAACTGGTTTGACTTTTGAAAATTGTTCAATGTACCTACCTTGGAGACATTAGATTCCAGATAAGGCCTAGGGAAATGTGGAATTAGCCATGCCCCCTAGCTATGCAAAGAAGGTTATAAAAAAGACTTTTTATATAAGAAAGGATCTTGTATAGTAATTCCTTGTCCTAAAATAAAATAATTGGTTGTTTAAAAAGAGAAATATTTAGAACAAGTCAGAAAGTCCAAGCGTGTCACAAATGGTCTGGGTAAGTCATGAAAGGATTTGTGAAAGGAAAAGTATGCAAAAAAAGTAAAAATTGCTAAGAGTTATTATTATAACATGTAATTGAGACCACCGAAAAAACAGCTTTACACACAAGGTGTATAAGGGAAGTAACTTTTTTTGGCAAATATTATAAGGCGGCAAGGAAATGTAAATTTTTGCCTAGTTTAGAGGCTTAAAGAATTGTTTTAAATTAGATAAGATAAACCTAAGGTTTGAACAAGTTGTGGAAGGGTTGTAAAAATTAATCTTGTGAAATAAATTTTGTTTATGAACATACTGACTAAATTTCAAAAGCAATTATTTGGTTTTTCTGAACAATAAACATTGTAATAAAAGCACAACATGGTTTTCTTAAAACACTGATCTGCTCTTTAAGAAAAATTTATAAAGAGTTATAAAATGTTGATGAGAATCTCACCTTATGGTCAAATGATTAAGATTGGATAGATTTGTTTATAAGCTTTTATTAAAAATTTGAGTTGACATTAACAGTACACTAATGCAAGAATGAAATTTGGCTCTCTCTCTTGAACAGGATTTCATGATTTTCATGTAATATTAAAGGATAATGCAAGATTTTTGTTTGCCCTTTGAATAAATAAACTACTGAAAAAAAGAAGAGAAAAATAAGAGACAGATTTTTGGAAAGTTAAGTTTTCCCTCTGTCAATGAAGAAAGGTTTTTGCCTTTTTAAAATGTTTGACTCATCATTTTAGCTAAATGAATGACTTATGGTGACCTGGAAGTCTATTTCATAATATCAAGTGTTTTAAACCTTTAACATATTTGATAGGCTTCTCAAAATCACATTTCAGCTTCAAAAATGTCTTTTATGACCTCTAAATTTGGGATGCTACATAGGGCCCCTGAAGCATCCAAAAGAGAGGTAAATAGGATTATTTGACATGTTAAGCCATGTTACATGGGAAGCATTGTCAAAATTAAAAAAAAAATGTTTAACCCTTTTCAGGTTATATTTTAGTGGATGATATTAATATATGTTGCCAAATTGTATGGGATTTTTAAAATTGTAATATTTCTGAGTACCTCCTATCAATCATAACTGTGGTTATTATGTTATTGTAGACCACAGAAATAACCAAATTTCCTAGTAAAATGTCTTTTTAACTATGACTATTCAAAGTCATTTCCATAGTTAATTGCTTATTGCTGATGCAGTTTCTGAAAACATCACAAGCATGCAAAATCCTGCAGTATGGTGTCTTTTAGGAGGTCCATAAAAGTATGAGAAGGACCCTGAAAAACACTCTTGAATTCAGGTTTCTAATAACTTTAAAATAAAATCATAGGTAAGAATTCTGCATGAGCCGGGCGCAGTGGCTCAAGCCTGTAATCCCAGCACTTTGGGAGGCTGAGATGGGCGGATCACGAGGTCAGGAGATCGAGACCATCCTGGCTAACATGGTTAAACCCCGTCTCTACTAAAAAAATACAAAAAACTAGCTGGGCGAGGTGGCAGGCGCCTGTAGTCCCAGCTACTCAGGAGGCTGAGGCAGGAGAATGGCGTGAACCCGGGAGGCGGAGCTTGCAGTGAGCTGAGATCCAGCCACTGCACTCCAGCCCTGGCAACAGAGTGAGACTCCATCTCAAAAAAAAAAAAAAAAAAAAGAATTCTGCATGAATTGCCCCAACTCTTCAAGAACTGGACTTGGTAAGAATTCCTGAAACTTGAATGAAAAGACAGACTGGTTTATAAAACCACTAACCCAAGTAAAATAAAAATTAATTGAATACCAGTTAATTGCCAGATCTTCATGCTAAATAAACCAATACTGAAGTTGTTTAGATATACAAGTTAAATAAACTCCAATATCTAAATAAAATTACCTATGTCAACCCATCAGTTACCAGTGCTATGCACCTATTGGAATAACAACTGATATTCAAAAGAACATAAGTCCAATATTAAGCATGGACTCTTTGAGAACAAGGAAAATTGCCTTGTCCTTCCCAAGTACTTAAAACTTTTGTTATTAATAGTTCTGCATTTCATGGCTTATCGTGGAAAAGATGATCCAAATTAAATATAAATTGGTGTGGTGACTTCTAAATTGCTAAAATATTTTATAACCAATGTTTAATTTGTCAAACCAATATTCCTGGGAAGACAATCAAAACTTCAGGTACATTTGGCTACCTGATGTGCCATTTAAAGATTTTTAAAGAGATTTTATTCAATTGCCGTTTTCAATGCATGTTTTCTAGTTGTATATAAGTTCTCCCATGCAAGAGGGCTGATGTTATAACATTAGCTTATTATGCTACAGTATATTGTCACCAGGTAAAGAAAGCTTCATATGGATCACTGATAATAATCAGTCTCTTCAAAATCTAGAACCTGAATATTGGATCTTCTGAAAACATCAGAGAAAAACTGTCCTTGCCATCCACACTGCAACAAAACTTCACAATCTTGAACTTTGGGTTTATAATCTCACAAATGAGTAGGATCCCTCCACACTCTTGGAACTGTACATCCATTAAGGTAAAGCTAATCAAGGAAGTCTGTCCTCAGATAAAGGCATCCTTGATGTGAACAGCTTTCTCAAGATCACAGATCAAGACTTGTCAGCTGTCATGAAACCCTTATCTTTAAATATTTTTCCTTGCTTATGCCTCTATGACAATGGAAGTAAAGAAAAGGTCTGTTATGTGTACTTATGGTGTATAATTTTATTTGTGAAGGATTTTGCAGCCAACCTTATACATGGATAACCTTTTACCTTGGTAGATGAAAAATGAAGGCACAGTGTATTAGATGAGAAACTTCAATGGCACATATGTTGCCTCATAATCAGTAAGAAAAAGAACACTAGTTCATTCCTCTTAACCTACATAGTGGGTTAAAAAGTACACTGCAGGGAGGCCTTCACTCTGCTAGAAAGACATCATTTGTAAGATCTTTTGCCCATAGTTTTGAGTAAAAGAGGCAATGATTAGAAATGTATTCCTCATGATGGGCACTTTATAGCAGATTCTACTGTAGAGGCTATAGTTATACATCAGGCTTTAAATTGTGTTGTAAAAGTTATGCTAAATAATAGAATTGGCTAAACAGAAAACTACCTGTGCAGCTGCTGGCACTTGTGGCCTATGGAGAAATACATTAAACATAGATTATAGAGATTCCGTTGCAGGGGATTAATGAAGAGACTGCTTAGTTAAGCAAGTAGACTTTATCTAGCTAATTCATTCATTTATTTAATATTAGCTGGTTTTGTTTATTGGGACTGTATTAGTCCATTTTCATGCTGCTGATAAAGATATACCTGAGACAGGGTAATTTATAAAGAAAAAGAGGTTCAACGGACTCACAGTTTCACATGGCTGAGGAGGCCTCACAATCATGGCATAAAGTAAAAGACACATCCTACATGGTGGCAGACGAGAGAATGAGAGCCAAACAAAAGGGAAACCCCTTATTAAACCATCATATCTCATGAAACTTATTTACTATTATGATTACTGTATGGGAGAAACCGCCCCCATGATTCAATTTTCTCCCACTGGTTTCCTCCCACAACATGTGGGAATTATGGGAGCTATAATTAAAAATGAGATTTGGGTGGGGACACAGACAAACCATATCATACCACCCCTGGCCCCTCTAAAATCTCATGTCCTCACATTTAAGTCCAATTACACCTTCCAGCAATCCCCAAAGTCTTAACTCATTTCAGCATTAACTCAGAAGTCCACAGTCCAAAGTTTCATCTAAGACAAGGCAAGTCCCTTCCACTATAAGCCTGTAAAATCAAAAGCAAGTTAGTTACTTCCTAGATACAATGGGGTACAGACATTGGATAAATAAACTCATTCCAAATGGGAGAAATTGGCCAAAACAAAGGGGCTAAAGGCTCCATGCAAGTTGAAAATCCAGCAGGGCAGTCAAATCTTAAATCTTCAAAATTATCTCCTTTGACTCCATGTGTCACATCCAGGTCTCACTAATGCAAGAGGTAGGTTCTCATGGCCTTGGGAAGCTCTGCCACTGTGGCTTTACACGGCACAGCCTCTCTCCCCACTGCTTCACAGGCTGGTATTGAGTGTCTATGGCTTTTCCAGGCACATGGTACAAGTTTTCAGTCGATCTATCATTCTGGGGCCCGGAAGATGGTGGCCCTCTTCTCATATCTCTGCTAGGCAGTGCCCAAGTGGGGACTCTGTGTGGGGGCTTCAACCCCACATTTCCCTTCTGCACTGCACTAAAAGAGGTTCTCCATAAGAGACCTACTCCTGCAACAAACTTCTTTCTGGACATCTAGGCATTTCCATACATCCTCTGAAATCTAGGCAAACGTCCCCAAATGTCAATTCTTGACTTCTATGCACCTGTGTGCTCAGTATCACATGGAAGCTGTCAAGGCTTTGGGCTTGCATCCTCTGAAGCCATGGCCTAAGCTGTACCTTGTCCCCTCTTAGCCATGGCTAGAGCAGCTGGGACATAGGGCACCAACTCCCCAGGCTGCATGCAGCAGATGGAGCCTGGGTATGGCACACAAAACTGTATTTTCCTCTTAGGCCTTCAGGCCTGTGATTGGAGGGGCTGCTGCAGAGGTCTCTGACATGTCCTAAAGACATTTTCCCCATTGTCTTGGTGATTAACATTTGGCCCCTCGTTACTTATGTAAATTTCTGCAGCCAGCTTGAATTTTTCATCAGAAAATGGGGTTTTCTTTTCTATTGCATTGTCAGGTTGCAAATTTTGTGAACTTTAATGCTCTGTTTCCTTTTTAAAATGGAATGCCTTTAACAGGACCCAAGTCACTGCTTGAATTCTTAGCTGCTTAGAAATTTTTTCCACCAGATACCCTAAATCATCTCTCTCAAGTTCAAAGTTCCACAAATCCCTAGGGCAGGGGCAAAATGCTGCCAGTCTCTTTGCTAAAACATAGCAAGAGTCACCTTTTTTTTTTTTTTTTTAATTATACTTTGAGTTCTAGGGTACATGTGCATAACGTGCAGGTTTGTTACATATGTATACTTGTGCCATGTTGGTGTGCTGCAGCCATCAACTCGTCAGCATCCATCAACTCTTCATTTACATCAGGTATAACTCCCAATGCAATCCCTCCGCCCTCCCCCCTCCCCAGGATAGGCCCCAGTGTGTGATGTTCCCCTTTCCGAGTCCAGGTGATCTCATTGTTCAGTTCCCACCTATGAGTGAGAACATGCGGTGTTTGGTTTTCTGTTCTTGTGATAGTTTGCTGAGAATGATGGTTTCCAGCTGCATCTATGTCCCTACAAAGGACACAAACTCATCCTTTTTTATGGCTGCATAGTATTCCATGGTGTATATGTGCCACATTTTCTTAATCCAGTCTGTCACTGATGGACATTTGGGTTGATTCCAAGTCTTTGCTATTGTGAATAGTGCCACAATAAACATACGTGTGCATGTGTCTTTATAGCAGCATGATTTATAATCCTTTGGGTATATACCCAGTAATGGGATGGCTGGGTCATATGGTACATCTAGTTCTAGATCCTTGAGGAATCGCCACACTGTTTTCCATAATGGTTGAACTAGTTTACAATCCCACCAACAGTGTAAAAGTGTTCCTATTTCTCCACATCCTCTCCACCACCTGTTGTTTCCTGACTTTTTAATGATTGCCATTCTAACTGGTGTGAGATGGTATCTCATTGTGGTTTTGATTTGCATTTCTCTGACGGCCAGTGATGATGAGCATTTTTTCATGTGTCTGTTGGCTGTATGAATGTCTTCTTTTGAGAAATGTCTGTTCATATCCTTTGCCCACTTTTTGATGGGGTTGTTTGTTTTTTTCTTGTAAATTTGTTTGAGTTCTTTGTAGGTTCTGGATATTAGCCCTTTGTCAGATGAGTAGATTGCAAAAATTTCTCCCATTCTGTAGGTTGCCTGTTCACTCTGATGGTAGTTTCTTTTGCTGTGCAGAAGCTCTTTAGTTTAATTAGATCCCATTTGTCAATTTTGGCTTTTGCTGCCTTTGCTTTTGGTGTTTTAGAGATGAAGTCTTTGCCCATGCCTATGCCTTGAATGGTACTACCTAGGTTTTCCTCTAGGATTTTTATGGTATTAGGTCTAACATTTAAGTCTCTAATCCATCTTGAATTAATTTTCGTATAAGGAGTAAGGAAAGGATCCAGTTTCAGCTTTCTACTTATGGCTAGCCAATTTTCCCAGCACCATTTATTAAATAGGGAATCCTTTCCCCATTTCTTGTTTCTCTCAGGTTTGTCAAAGATCAGATGGCTGTAGATGTGTGGTATTATTTCTGAGGACTCTGTTCTGTTCCATTGGTCTATATCTCTGTTTTGGTACCAGTACCATGCTGTTTTGGTTACTGTAGCCTTGTAGTATAGTTTGAAGTCAGGTAGCGTGATGCCTCCAGCTTTGTTCTGTTGACTTAGGATTGTCTTGGAGATGCTGGCTCTTTTTTGGTTCCATATGAACTTTAAAGCAGTTTTTTCCAATTCTGTGAAGAAACTCATTGGTACCTTGATGGGAATGGCATTGAATCTATAAATTACCTTGGGAAGTATGGCCATTTTCACGATATTGATTCTTCCTATCCATGAGCATGGTATGTTCTTCCATTTGTTTGTGTCCTCTTTTATTTCACTGAGCAGTGGTTTGTAGTTTTCCTTGAAGAGGTCCTTTACATCCCTTGTCAGTTGGATTCCTAGGTATTTTATTCTCTTTGGAGCAATTGTGAATGGAAGTTCATTCATGATTTGGCTCTCTGTCTGTCTGTTACTGGTGTATAAGAATGCTTGTGATTTTTGCACATTAATTTTGTATCCTGAGACTTTGCTGAAGTTGCTTATCAGCTTAAGGAGATTTTGGGCTGAGACAATGGGATTTTCTAAATATACAATCATGTCATCTGCAAGGAGGGACAATTTGACTTCTTCTTTTCCTAACTGAATACCCTTGATTTCTTTCTCTTGCCTAATTGCCCTAGCCAGAACTTCCAACACTATGTTGAATAGGAGTGGTGAGAGAGGGCATCCCTGTCTTGGCCAGATTTCAAAGAGAATTTTTCCAGTTTTTGCCCATTCAGTATGATATTGGCTGTGGGTTTGTCATAAATAGCTCTTATTATTTTGAGGTACGTTCCGTCAATACCGAATTTATTGAGCGTTTTTAGCATGAAGGGCTGTTGAATTTTGTCAAAAGCCTTTTCTGCATCTATTGAGATAATCATGTGGTTCTTATCTTTGGTTCTGTTTATATGCTGGATTATGTTTATTGATTTGCGAATGTTGAACCAGCCTTGCATCCCAGGGATGAAGCCCACTTGATCATGGTGGATAAGCTTTTTGATGTGTTGCTGAATCCGGTTTGCCAGTATTTTATTGAGGATTTTTGCATCGATGTTCATCAGGGATATTGGTCTAAAATTTTATTTTCTTGTTGTGTCTCTGCCAGGTTTTGGTATCAGGATGATGTTGGCCTCATAAAATGAGTTAGGGAGGATTCCCTCTTTTTCTATTGATTGGAATAGTTTCAGAAGGAATGGTACCAGCTTCTCCTTGTACCTCTAGTAGAATTCAGCTGTGAATCCATCTGGTCCTGGACTTTTTTTGGTTGGTAGGCTATTAATTATTGCCTCAATTTCAGAGCCTGCTATTGGTCTATTCAGGGATTCAACTTCTTCCTGGTTTAGTCTTG